TATACCAATAACACACTCGTAAATCATAAATACACTAGTAATACACTACTAACACACTCGTAAAGAATAAATACAGTAACATAGTAACACACTCGTAAATCATAAATACACTAACATACTAACACACTCGTAAAGAATAAATACACTAACATACTAACACACTCGTAAATCATAAATACACTAGTAATACACTACTAACACACTCGTAAATCATAAATACACTAATACCCTAACATAATAACACACTCATAAATCATAAATACACTAATAACATACTACTAATATACTACTAACACACTCGTAAATCATAAATACACTAATACACTAACATAATAATGAATAATAAATAAACCAATACACTCACATACTAATACACTAATATACTAACACACTAATAAATAAACTAACACACTAACATACTAATACACTAACACACTAATACACTAATATACTAATACACTAATAAATATACTAATACACTAACACACTAATACACTAATATACTAATACACTAATAAATATACTAATACACTAACACACTAATACACTAATATACTAATACACTAATAAATATACTAATACACTAACACACTAATACACTAACACACTAATATACTAATACACTAATATACTAATAAATAAACTAACATACTAATACACTAATATACTAATACACTAACACACTAATACACTAATATACTAATACACTAATAAATATACTAATACACTAACACACTAATACACTAATATACTAATACACTAATAAATATACTAATACACTAACACTAATACACTAACACACTAATATACTAATACACTAATATACTAATAAATAAACTAACACACTAACATACTAATACACTAATATACTAATACACTAACACACTAATACACTAATATACTAATACACTAATAAATATACTAATACACTAACACACTAATACACTAACATACTAATACACTAATAAATATACTAATACACTAACACACTAATACACTAACATACTAATACACTAATAATATACTAATACACTAACACACTAATACACTAATATACTAATACACTCATAAATAATAAATAAACTAATACACTAACTACTACAATAGCAGCTGAGTGGGGCATTACACCTGGTAATCTGTGAGCCGGTGACGTAGTCAATATCGGAATCGGGTTTTCCACACGTGGTGTTCGCCACCCACCCCCTCGTGTGACATCTGCCTGCTGCTACTTGCTCACAGCACTTGCCCCGACAGCATGCGTAGGCTACACGGGGGTCCTTTGTCTTTGTGCTCGCAGCACCGAAGCGCGTGGCCGTGCGGACTGGGCTTGCTGCGAGGAGACGAACCGTGCCTTACCGGGTACCCGCCGCAAGACTCGCCCACTCGCTCGCCCACTCGCTCGCCCACTCGCCCACTCGCTCACCCACTCGCTCACTCACTCACCCACTCACCCACCCGCTCACCCACTCGCTCGCTCACTCACCCGCTCGCTCGCTCACCCACTCACCCACCCACTCACCCACCCACTCACCCACTCACTCGCTCACTCACCCACTCGCTCACCTGCTCACTCACCCGCTCACTCAATCGCTCACTCACCCACTCGCTCGCTCACCTACTCACTCACTCGCTCACTCGCTCGCTCGCTCACCCACTCACCCACCCACTCACCCACCCACTCACCCACTCACTCGCTCACTCACCCACTCGCTCACCTGCTCACTCACCCGCTCACTCAATCGCTCACTCACCCACTCGCTCGCTCACCTACTCACTCACTCGCTCACTCACTCGCTCGCCCACTCACTCGCTCACCCACTCACTCACCCACTCACCTCTCACTCACTCGCTCACCCACTCGCTCGCTCACCCACTCACTCGCTCGCTCACCCACTCACTCACTCGCTCGCTCACCCACTCACTCGCTCGCCCGCTCGCTCGCTCGCTCACCCACTCACTCGCTCACCCACTCACTCGCTCACTCACTCACTCGCTCGCTCATCCACTCATCCACCCACTCACCCACCCACTCACCCACCCGCTCGCCCATCCGCTCACCCACCCACCGGCTTACCCACCCAATCGCTCACTCAACTGCTCACACACCCACTCACCCAACCACCCACACACCCACACACCCACCCATCCACTCACCCACTCACCTACCCACCCAATGAGTCGACCACCGCACCCCATACTCGTCTGAAGAATACCGTTCGAATGATCTCCACTGCCATGGGCCTCTCTCCTCCCGTGTCACCCGTGCAGACTCAGCTGATGTACAGGGCTGGCCGCTTGCAGCATACTCGTCTGTTGCAGCAGCAGCAGCAGCAGAGGCCGAAGCAGCAGCAGCAGACGCAGAAGCAGCAGCAACAGCAGCAGAGGCCGAAGCAGAAGCAGCAGCAGAAGCAGCAGCAACAGCAGAGGCAGCCAAAGCAGCAGAAGCAGCAGCAGCAGAAGCAGAAGCAGCAGCAGCAACAGCAAAGGCAGCAGCAGAAGCAACAGCAGCAGCAGCGGCAGCAGCCGCGGCAGCAACAGCAACAGAAGTTGCAGCTGTGGACGAAACGAAAGCTGGGACAGCAGGGGCTGACAGCTGTTCACGTGCAGCAGAGGATGCAGCAGCAGCAGCAGCAGCAGGCGCAGCAGCAGCAGCAGCAGCGGTGGAGGTGGAGAGGGGCGTACGGGCGGGCGACCCTGGGCAGGTATCGGAATCTTTGATTTTTAAATCGTTTATATTAAGTTCACTTGCTTGCTGCTTAGGACCGTGCAAATCTTTCGGTCGTTTTTTAACCCACTTCCCGTGATCCAATCGAGCTGACATTTTGCACACAGACTCGTCGTGCGTGACAATTAATGTTCGTGAAATTTTTTTTCAAAAATTTTCCACTTTTTAGGACAAAAATATTATATTTAATTACCAATTGCTTAATGGTGCAATGCAATCATCTGACCCATAGGTGGCAGCCATCTCAAGCCAGAGGACGAGAGGACTCTAGCCGCCACACATATAAAGGATTTATAGTGAAAAACTTTGTTTTTACTGGTTATACTTATTATTTATTCGTTTCCTTTTGTTGGTCAACGTGGCAGCAGTGGCAGCAGTAACAGCAGCTGCATTGGCAGCAGCAGTGGCAGCAGCAGTAATAGCAGCAGTAACAGCAGCAGTAGCAGGATAAGTGATTAAGCATGGTGCATTGATGGCTGTGGTGGTGACTGTGTTGGTGGTGACGGTGGTGGTGATGTTGGTGATGTTGTTGTTGGTGATGGTGTGATGGTGGTGATGTTGTTGTTGGTGGTGATGGTGATGATGTTGGTGATGTTGTTGTTGGTGATGGTGTGATGGTGGTGATGTTGTTGTTGGTGGTGATGGTGGTGATGTTGATAGTGGTGATGTTGATGTTGGTGATGGTGATGATGTTGTTGATGTTGTTGATGTTGTTGATGTTGGTGATGGTGCAGGCTGCCCGTGCCTTTGTCTGGCCCGGCTCAGCTCGACGCTCGACTCAGACAGAGGAGAGAGCGGCAGAGGAGGGTGAACTCCCTCCGTGGTGTGGCGGTGAGTCCACCACCACTCACCACCATCACTCACCATCACTCACCATCACTCACCATCACTCACCAGCATCACTCACCATCACTCACCATCACTCACCAGCATCACTCACCATCACTCACCATCACTCACCACCATCACTCACCACCACCACTCACCATCATTCACCATCACCATCACCATCACTCACCATCACTCACCATCACTCACCAGCATCACTCACCATCACTCACCATCACTCACCAGCATCACTCACCATCACTCACCATCACTCACCACCATCACTCACCACCACCACTCACCATCATTCACCATCACCATCACCATCACTCACCATCACTCACCATCACTCACCATCACTCACCATCACTCACCAGCATCACTCACCATCACTAAACCATCACTCACCAGCATCACTCACCATCACTCACCATCACTCACCACCATCACTCACCACCACCACTCACCATCATTCACCATCACTCATCATCACTCACCACCACCGCTCACCACCACCACTCACCACCATCGCTCACCACCACTCACCATCACTCACCATCACCATCACCACCACCACTCACCACCACCGCTCACCACCACTCACCACCACTCACCATCACCACCGCCGCTCACCACCACGACTCACCACCGCCGCTCACCACTCCCGCGTCTCCCCGTGTGTCTCCCCGTGTGTCTCCGTGTGTCTCCCCGTGTGTCTCCGTGTGTCTCCCCGTGTGTCTCCGTGTGTCTCCCTGTGTGTCTCCGCGTCTCCCCGTGTGTCTCCGTGTCTCCCCGTGTGTCTCCGTGTGTCTCCCCGTGTGTCTCCCCGTGTGTCTCCGTGTCTCTCCGCGTCTCCCCGTGTGTCTCCCCGTGTGTCTCCCCGTGTGTCTCCGTGTGTCTCACCGTGTGTCTCCGTGTGTCTCCGTGTGTCTCCGTGTGTCTCCGTGTCTCCCCGCGTCTCCCCGTGTGTCTCCCTGTGTGTCTCCCCGCGTCTCCCCGTGTGTCTCCGTGCGTGCCCAGGCCTGGGGTGAGACTCCAGATGGCAGAAGCATGCACGGAGCTCGGCACGGACACACGTGGGTAGAGAGAGAGAGAGTGGGGGGGCGGAGAGTGTGGGGAGAGAGAGAGTGGGTAGAGAGAGAGGGGAGAGTGTGGGGAGAGAGAGAGAGTGTGGGGGGAGAGAGAGTGGGAGAGAGTGGGGAGTGTGGGGAGAGAGAGAGAGTGGGGGGGGGGGGGGAGAGAGTGGGGGGAGAATGTGGGGAGAGAGTGGGGAGAGTGTGGGTAGAGAGAGAGTGGGGGGGGGGAGAGAGTGGGGGGAGAGTGGGGAGAGAGAGAGTGGGTAGAGAGAGAGGGGAGAGTGTGGGGGGAGACAGAGTGTGGGGGGAGAGAGTGGGGAGTGTGGAGAGAGTGGGGGAGTTTGGGGGGAGAGTGTGGGGAGAGAGAGAGTGAGAGAGAGTCTGTTAGAGGCTACACGGGGGATCTCTGTGTGAGTCTGTGTGTGTCTGTGTGTCTCTGTGTGTCTCTGTGTGTCTCTCTGTGTGTGTGTCTCTGTGTGTGTCTCTGTGTGAGTCTCTGTGTGTCTGTGTCTCTGTGTGTGTCTTTGTTTGGCTGTGTGTGTCTGTGTGTGTCTCTGTGCGTCTCTCTGTGTGTCTGTCTGTGTGTGCATCTCTCTGTGTGTGTGTCTCTGTGTGTGCGTCTCTGTGTGTCTGGGTGTGTGTGTGCGTCTCTGTGTCTGTGTGCGTCTGTGTGTGTGTGTCTCTCTGTGTGTGTGTCTGTGTGTGTGTGTATCTCTGTGTGTATCTGTGTGTGTCTGTGTGTGTGTCTGTGTGTCTCTGTGTGTGTGTCTGTGTGTGTGTGTGTGTGTATCTCTGTGTGTCTGTGTGTCTCTGTGTGTGTCTGTGTGTGTGTATCTCTCTGTGTGTGTGTCTGTGTGTGTGTGTCTGTGTGTGTCTGTGTGTGTCTGTGTCTGTGTGTGTGTGTGTGTCTGTGTGTATCTGTGTGTGTCTGTGTGTGTCTGTGTCTGTGTCTGTGTGTGTGTGTCTGTGTGTATCTGTGTGTGTCTGTGTGTGTGTGTCTGTGTCTGTGTGTGTGTGTGTCTGTGTGTATCTGTGTGTCTGTGTGTGTGTATCTCTCTGTGTGTGTATCTGTGTCTCTGTGTGTGTGTGTCTGTGTGTGTGTGTGTATCTGTGTGTGTCTGTGTGTGTCTCTGTGTGTGTGTGTATCTGTGTGTATCTGTGTGTGTCTCTGTGTGTGTGTGTACTGCGTCAGGCGGAATGCCGAGGCCTCTCCGAGCACGATGCTGACCGTCTCCATCGCCAATCCTCGAGCAACGACGCAGCCCGCCAAGCGAGCGTACGTGAGCCTCCGTCATCGCCGCGATGTTGACTACCTCGCCTGGTCTACAGGAGGTCGTGGGTTCGATCCCTGGGAGATGTTGACTACCTCGCCTGGTCTACAGGAGGTCGTGGGTTCGATCCCTGGGAGATGTTGACTACCTCGCCTGGTCTACAGGAGGTCGTGGGTTCGATTCCTGGGAGATGTTGACTACCTCGCCTGGTCTACAGGAGGTCGTGGGTTCGATTCCTGGGAGATGTTGACTACCTCGCCTGGTCTACAGGAGGTCGTGGGTTCGATTCCTGGGAGATGTTGACTACCTCGCCTGGTCTACAGGAGGTCGTGGGTTCGATTCCTGGGAGATGTTGACTACCTCGCCTGGTCTACAGGAGGTCGTGGGTTCGATTCCTGGGAGATGTTGGCTACCTCGCCTGGTCTACAGGAGGTCGTGGGTTCGATTCCTGGGAGATGTTGACTACCTCGCCTGGTCTACAGGAGGTCGTGGGTTCGATTCCTGGGAGATGTTGACTACCTCGCCTGGTCTACAGGAGGTCGTGGGTTCGATTCCTGGGAGATGTTGACTACCTCGCCTGGTGTACAGGAGGTCGTGGGTTCGATCCCGACCTTGACGCCTGATGTATATTTGGAGTCTGCATCTCTCGCTCTCATCATCATCATCATCACGGTGGCTAGGAGATGTTAACTACCTCGCCTGGTGTACAGGAGGTCGTGGGTTCGATCCCGACCTTGACGCCTGCTGTATATTTGGAGTCTGTGTCTCTCATCATCATCATCACGGTGGCTCGGAGATGTTAACTACCTCGCCTGGTCTGCAGGAGGTCGTGGGTTCGATCCCGCACCCTGACGATGCTGCCACTCGCCAACAGCACTTGCCCCAACAGTCTGTTAAGGCTATACGGGGGATCTTTGTATTTGTCTCCCACCCCCACTCCGCTCCCTCACAGACCCTCATCCACAAACAACAACAAGGCCCATCTCTCCTCCACCTCGCCACCACCGCCGCCACCACCAGCGTCATCGTCGGCGTCATCGTCGCCCCACCGCATCGTGCTGGGCTGCTCGGGTTCCCTCCTCCTCGTGTCCGCCAGGCCCCAGCCCCCCCCCCGCCCCCCCGCTCCCCCTCCCCCGCTCCCCCTCCCCCCCTCCTCCTCCTCCACCTCGTCGCCGCCGTCAAGAGCAGCAACGGTGTTGGCTCGCGGCGGCCGAGGCGGTGGTGGCGGTGGTGGCGGCGGCCGAGGCGGTGGTGGTGGTGGTGGCGGTGGTGGCGGTGATGGCCGTGGTGGTGGTGGTGGCCGTGGCGGTGGTGGCGACGGTGGTGGCCGTTGGGCTTCGCCTGCGCAGCCCCGTGGAGTTTCGCTCAGCCTGGAGACCTTCCGCTTGCCCAAGCAGGTGGGGAGCTGTAGACTCTGGGTCAGGGTCAGGGGTCAGGGTCTAGAGTGGAGGCTGTGGGTGGGGGTCAGGGGTCAGGGTCTAGAGTGGAGGCTGTGGGTGGGGGTCAGGGTCTAGAGTGGGGGCTGTGGGTGGGGGTCAGGGGTCAGGGTCTAGAGTGGAGGCTGTGGGTGGGGGTCAGGGTCTAGAGTGGGGGCTGTGGTGGGGGTCAGGGGTCAGGGTCTAGAGTGGAGGCTGTGGGTGGGGGTCAGGGTCTAGAGTGGGGGCTGTGGGTGGGGGTCAGGGGTCAGGGTCTAGAGTGTAGACTCTGGGTGGGGGTCAGGGTCTAGAGTGGGGGCTGTGGGTGGGGGTCAGGGGTCAGGGTCTAGAGTGGAGGCTGTGGGTGGGGGTCAGGGTCTAGAGTGGAGGCTGTGGGTGGGGGTCAGGGGTCAGGGTCTAGAGTGTAGACTCTGGGTGGGGGTCAGGGTCTAGAGTGGGGGCTGTGGGTGGGGGTCAGGGGTCAGGGTCTAGAGTGGAGGCTGTGGGTGGGGGTCAGGGTCTAGAGTGGAGGCTGTGGGTGGGGGTCAGGGGTCAGGGTCTAGAGTGTAGACTCTGGGTGGGGGTCAGGGTCTAGAGTGGGGGCTGTGGGTGGGGGTCAGGGGTCAGGGTCTAGAGTGGAGGCTGTGGGTGGGGGTCAGGGTCTAGAGTGGAGGCTGTGGGTGGGGGTCAGGGGTCAGGGTCTAGAGTGTAGACTCTGGGTGGGGGTCAGGGTCTAGAGTGGGGGCTGTGGGTGGGGGTCAGGGGTCAGGGTCTAGAGTGGAGGCTGTGGGTGGGGGTCAGGGTCTAGAGTGGAGGCTGTGGGTGGGGGTCAGGGGTCAGGGTCTAGAGTGTAGACTCTGGGTGGGGGTCAGGTCTAGAGTGGGGGCTGTGGGTGGGGGTCAGGGGTCAGGGTCTAAAGTGGAGGCTGTGGGTGGGGGTCAGGGTCTAGAGTGGAGGCTGTGGGTGGGGGTCAGGGTCTAGAGTGTAGACTCTGGGTGGGGGTCAGGGTCTAGAGTGGGGGCTGTGGGTGGGGGTCAGGGGTCAGGGTCTAGAGTGGAGGCTGTGGGTGGGGGTCAGGGTCTAGAGTGGAGGCTGTGGGTGGGGGTCAGGGGTCAGGGTCTAGAGTGTAGACTCTGGGTGGGGGTCAGGGTCTAGAGTGGGGGCTGTGGGTGGGGGTCAGGGGTCAGGGTCTAGAGTGGAGGCTGTGGGTGGGGGTCAGGGTCTAGAGTAGAGACCGTGGGTCATTACCCTGTAAGTGTGTACATTTGTCGTCTGTGTGTGTGCGTGTCTTTGTGTGTATGTGGGAGTGTACGTGAGTGTGCGTGCGCGCGCGTGAGTGTGTGCGTGTCTTTGTGCGTGTCTTTGTGTGAGTGTGCGTGCGTGAGTGTGCGTGCGTCCGTGCATTGCGCTCCCTTGCCCCCCCCCCCCCCCCCCCAGCGCCCGACGCTCCGCTAAGGTGTGGCGGTGGTGGCGGTGCCGCCGCTGTGTTTGTGTCGCCCTCACAGACCTCGCTGACGCTGCACGCCAGATTCTCTGGCGTGCAGGCCAAAGTCGGCCCCGCAACGGCCCCCACCAGACCCCGTACCGTCTGTCTGCTGTGAGAGCGGTGGCGGAGCCACGGGGGGGGGGGGGGCGGAGCCACGGGGGGGGGGGGGGGCGGAGCCACTGGGGGGGGGGGGGCGGAGCCAAGGGGAGGCGGAGCCACAGGGGGGGCAGAGCCACGGGGGGGGGGGCGGAGCCAAGGGGAGGCGGAGCCAAGGGGGGGCGGAGCCACGGGGGGGGGGGCCATATGGGGGGGCGGGGGGGAGCCCGGAGTGCAGGGGTGGGGGCCGTATGAGGCCCGCGAAATCATTTGGGTCTGGCCCTGCCAAGGCAACCGCAGGCGGGACTCGAAATTCAATAAATCTCTATGAGCAAACGTGGAAAAGCAGTTGCGAGTAGCAGCAACATCGTCGATACCAGCAGCTAACATCATCACACGCCTCGCCAGAGATAAGCAGTTCCAGCCCATCGCATTAGGGAGGCGAGTTGATGAAATGTTTGACCAAATATAAACGGGCTAATGTTTAAGTTGATAATGTTGTACGGCCCGCAAATGATGTTCTAAATATACAAATGGCACTTGGCAGAAAAAAGGTTCATACTCTTCGTTTTGTCGGTAAAGTCACCATGTAGGAAATAAAAAATAATTTAAAAAAAATAATAAAAATAAAATAATAAAAAATCACGACGTTTCGGAGGCAACACAAGTCTCCGTTATCAGGTGGGACCGTCACAGCCAGATTTGCTGTGTCACTTGAATGCGTTTTATGTATCACTTGATACAGCAAATCTGGCTGTGACGGTCCCACCTGATGACGGAGACTTGTGTTGCCTCCGAAACGTCGTGATTTTTATTTTATTTTTATTAATTTTAAATTCATTTTTTACCTACGTGACTTTACCGAAAAAACTAATAGTATGAATCCTTGCAGTCACGAAAGCTTCAAATCTAGAAGACAAAAGGTTCCCTGTCCTGCCGTAGTGGTCAATCGCACTCGTTGATTCTTTTGGTAAAGTCACGTAGGGCAGAAAAAATTAACCCGTAAAAACAAAGTTTTTCACTATAAATTCCTTATATGCGTGGCATCGGTTTTATTTTATTATTCATTTCTGTTTTTCTTGAGTAAGAGTTTCATTTTTATCACATTGGTATTTTAAATTAAATATGGATTTTTTTTTTCCTAAAAAGTGGAAAATTTTTGAATTTTTTTTCACGAAAATAAATTGTCACGCACAACGAGTCTGTGTGCAAAACGTCAGCTCGATTGGATCACGGGAAGTGGGTTAAAAAACGACCGAAAGATTTGCACGGTCGTAAGCGCACAAGCAAGCAAGCAAGTGAACTTAATATAAAGGCTTTAAAAATAATAGATCCACGACGGTTTCGATGGCAACGCCACAAGCAATCGTCATCAGTAGGGACAACCGCAGCAAGAAAAACACTGCGATCGAAGCGTCGCGATCTATTATTTGTCTGCCCTACGTGACTTTACCGAAAGAACCAAAGAGTATGGATCCCAGCAGTCACGGAAACTTCAGATCAAGATTGGTTAGTCGTCGTTCGTGGTAGTCGTGAAAACTACAACTCTGTCACTAATCTTGATTTGAAGCTTTCGTGACTGCAGGAATCCTCCGTACTCGTTGCTTCTTTCGGTAAAGTCACGTAGGGTAGAAAAATATTAAAAAATATTTTTCTACCCTATGTGAATTTACTTTAAAATATTTAAAAATATTTTTCTACCTGTGACTTTATTTTTTAATATTTAGAAATATTTTTCTACCTATGACTTTATTTTAAAATATTTAAAAATATTTTTCTACCTACGTGAATTTGTTTTAAAATATTTTCAAATATTTTTCTACCTATGTGACTTTATTTTTAAATATTTTAAAATATTTTTCTACCTATGTGACTTTATTTTTAAATATTTTAAAATATTTTTCTACCTGTGACTTTATTTTTTAATATTTTAAAATATTTTTCTACCTGTGACTTTACCGAAAGAACCAAAGAGTATGAACTCCGTCACTATTTTATATTTTGCCAGGCCCCCCAACTGAGCTGCTTGTGTTGCAGGCTCGTTTTTTCAGAAGCCCTGAACCATCACAAATCATCGCAGCTCACCCACGTGGTGGCTTGCCATCGTCATCAACATCATGTGGATATTTATAGTAGCAGCCAAATACAGTAAAATCTTGGATTGCGAGTAATTTGGTCTGCGAGTGTTCTGCAAGACAAGCAAACATTTTAAATAAATATTCATTTGACAAACGAGCGAGGGGTCTTGCAATACGAGTCGTACGTACACGCTTTGTCTGCCCAGCGTCACGTGATCACAACTGATATACCAGTGCTTTGATATGCGAGTGCTTTGGATTACAAGCACGTTTCTGTAACGAGTTATGCTTGCAATCCAAGGTTTTACTGTACTCTGAATACATGGTCACTATTTTGTATTTCACGAGGTGTAAGGCCCCCAACGGAGCTGCTTGTGTAGCAGCTGGTTATTCAGCAGCGACACCCTGACCGTCACAAATCATCGCAGCGCAACCACGTGGCGGCTTCATCATCATCATCATCACGTGGACACTTACAGCAGCGGCAGCCAAATGCGCTCTAAACGCGTGTTTATAAACGCGCTGGCAGTAGTCAAATTTAAAACTCAACTATTTTGTATTTCACCAGATGTAAGAACCCCCGCTGCTATGTAGTAGCTCTTGTGCAGAAGCATACATCTATCATACACCTCTCATACACCTATCATACATCTCTCATACACCTATCATACACCTATCATACACCTATCATACACCTCTCATACATCTCTCATACACCTATCATACACCTATCATACATATCTCATTCACCTATCATACATCTCTCATACACCTATCATAAACCTATCATACATCTATCATACACCTATCATACACCTATCATACACCTATCATACATCTATCATCTATCATACACCTATCATACACCTATCATACATCTATCATCTATCATACACCTATCATACACCTATCATACACCTATCATACATCTATCATCTATAATACACCTATCATACACCTATCATACACCTATCACCTATCATACACCTATCATACATCTAACTATCCCACCTCTACCTATCCCATCTCTAGCTAAGATTGAAATAGAAAGAAGGATTTCTCCATAACTCTGTGGCTGTCCACCTGACGATCCTGGTTGTTGTGGTTGTTGTTGTGATTACCGGCGAAATGTCACAATATTCGAATTGTAAATGTAGTAGTGGGTTTAACTCTCCAACACACTACAACCGGTTAGTGCTGTACTAGTAACGAATTGTAAATGTAGTAGTGGGTTTAACTCTCCAACACACTACAACCGGTTAGTGCTGTACTAGTAACGAATTGTCAATGTTGTGGGTTTAACTCTCCAACACACAGCAACCGGTTAGTGCTGTACTAGTAACGAATTGTAAATGTAGTAGTGGGTTTAACTCTCCAACACACTACAACCGGTTAGTGCTGTACTAGTAACGAATTGTCAATGTTGTAGTGGGTTTAACTCTCCAACACACAGCAACCGGTTAGTGCTGTACTAGTAACGAATTGTAAATGTTGTAGTGGGTATAACTCTCCAACACACTACAACCGGTTAGTGCTGTACTAGTAACGAATTGTAAATGTTGTAGTGGGTTTAACTCTCCAACACACAGCAACCGCTTGGTGCTGTACTAGTAACGAATTGTAAATGTTGTAGTGGGTTTAACTCTCCAACACACAGCAACCGGTTAGTGCTGTACTAGTAACGAATTGTCAATGTTGTAGTGGGTTTAACTCTCCAACACACAGCAACCGGTTAGTGCTGTACTAGTAACGAATTGTAAATGTTGTAGTGGGTTTAACTCTCCAACACACAGCAACCGGTTAGTGCTGTACTAGTAACGAATTGTAAATGTTGTAGTGGGTTTAACTCTCCAACACACAGCAACCGCTTGGTGCTGTACTAGTAACGAATTGTAAATGTCGTAGTGGGTTTAACTCTCCAACACACAGCAACCGGTTAATGCTGTACTAGTAACGAATTGTAAATTTTGTAGTGGGTTTAACTCTCCAACACACAGCAACCGCTTGGTGCTGTACTAGTGTAATGAGTGGCTCCGACACGATAAATGACTTCAAGTTGTTCATTAATAAATCTTCGGTACAGCCACGTCTCCCTCCCTCCCTCTCTCTCCGCCGGTGTCGACCCGCTCTCGTGCCTGCACTGGCCCGCGCCACGTGGCGCTCGCCCGGCCAGAGGTCGCAAACGGGTTTTGATTCCTTACCCGTACCCGGCCGCACCAGGGTCGCAAATGGGTACCCGTACCCTACCCGTACCCTACCCGTACCCTACCCGAAATGAGTGACAAACGGTTACTCACCAGTGACTCACGGCCTACCCGTACCCGGCCGCACCAGGGTCGCAAATGGGTACCCGTACCCTACCCGTACCCTACCCGTACCCGGCCGGGTAGGGTACGGGTAGCCGTTCCCTACCCGTACCCTACCCGAAATGAGTGACAAACGGTGACTCACCAGTGACTCACGGCCTACCTGTACCCGGCCGCACCAGGGTCGCAAACGGCTACCCGTACCCGGCCGGGTACGGATACCCATTTGCGATCCTGGTGCGTCCGGGTACGGGTAAGGAATCAAAACCCGTTTGCGACCTCTGATATGAAGGCAACACCATAAAGCATTGAAGGTTTTACCGGGTTAATAACATCCTTCCAATGATTGCTCAATTTGCATCCATCTTCCCGGTAGAAGTTATGTCTACGTTTATATATCTGGATGGCTTCGTGAACAAACCTTTGATAGTAGCCTGAAGGTTTGCAGAGCACCTTGGTCTCGGAAAAAAAACTATCACGAGAGCCCACAGCGCTATAGCAATGGTCAGCCACGGCGGAGGTATTAGTCCTGCCGTGTTTCAGATCTGCCGTGTTTCAGATCTGCCTTGTGCGTGATTTAATTTCTATTATTTTATACCTACGTGACTTTACCGAAAGAACCAAAGAGTATGGATCCCTGCAGTCACGAAAACTTCAAATCTAG